CGCAATTGCAATATGCCATTAGCCTTATTTTTCTTTTAAATCGGAGTTACTTTCTCAGTTAAATTTTTCATAATGAGTGACACCAATTTATTGAAGAAATCACTTTATAGATAATTCTTTTTGACTATGAAATGAACTGGTTTGACTATGAATTCAAAAAGTTGAACTACGAAATCCAGACAAGTACATTGTGCTGTCTTGTCTTTTCTTGTTGATATATGATGTTTGACTATGAAATGAATTGGTTTGACTATGAATTTAAAAAGTTGAACTATGAAATGCAGTCCAGTACATTCTGTAGTATTGTCATGTCCGTCAGTGATTTTTTACTATGAAATGAATTGGTTTGACTATGAATTTAAAAAGTTGAACTATGAACTGCAGACAAGTACATTTTGTAGTATTGTCATGTCGATCAGTGAAATTTTACTATGAAATGAACTGGTTTGACTATGAATTTAAAAAGTTAAACTATGAATTTTGAACAATAGAGATATAATATTTTCTATATAAATTTATAATTGCATTTGTGTGATATTGCATTTGTGTGTTGATTGTAAAACACCTTTCATTGGTTTTGAAAATGAGTACTTACACCGAAAGAAGCTTTTCTCAGCTACCAATATTCTTGCATAACCTTCAAAGAGTAAATCCTAATGCCTTCACAGCCATTAAGAAAACCGATACCAACCGCTTTCAATTCTGTTTTGTGGCTTTAGGTTGCGTGGTATAACATACTTCTTTTATTGAGTTATATAATATTTCATGGTAATGTATCTCGATTACGTTTTACTTATCACTAATATGTGTTCGTTTTTATGTAGATTCGTACCTTCCTTAGGGGCATGATACCGTTGATATATGTGGGTTATTTACCCCTTCTTGGGAGCTATCTGACAACAATGTATTTCGCAGTGGCTTTAGATGGAAATCATGAATCACTAATCTTAGCAGTTGGTTTAGGAACCTTAGAGTGTGAAGAATCATGGAGATGGTTCATGATGAGGTTAAAAGATTGTTTAGGTGAGGACATAGAGGTTGGTTTCATAAGCAACCTATGTGATAAAATAGACTTTGGTGTTCAGAGTGCCTACCCGGATTCCTATCATGGATATTATCCTAAAGATATAGCTCGAAAAATACGTGAGTCTGTTGGACATAACAATACGGTAGTCGAATCGTTGTTTTGGAAGTCATGCAATGCATATAGCGTTGATGATTTTTACTTGTGTTTGGAAAGGTTGCAAAGTACATGTAGGAAACCACCTTTCTGCACCTTGCTTAGGAGTCCAATTTACTGGCTTGACGATATACCTCAAAATAGACACGAGCATTTTTCCCAAAAGTACGTTACAATGTTAAATCGATTGACATCCCTGAAATTTTGCAAACTATATCCACACGTGAGTTTCGTATAACAACGATAATTGAGATAATCATTACGTCGATACAATCAAAGTATGGTGAACGGGCTGAAGTGGCGGGTAAGGGAGATTGTTATATTTAGTTTTTTTATTGTGCTATTATTTTTATTAATATATCAAATTTTACAGGGAGGTTGTCTGGTGGGTTGACCCCTTACGTTGAGAGTAAGGTTCAAAAAAGTCTCAACAAGTCTTATAATTGGAAGGCAAGACGTTTGTATGGGGATACATTTGAAGTCGATGATAATTTTTCCACCACCAACGTACAACTTGAACGAAGGGTATGTACTTGTGGTAAATGGAAAAAAAGCGGTATAGCATGTGGCCACGCTATAGCATGTCTAAGAACCCATACATCTGAATCCATTCACAGAATGGTTGATTACAAGTTCACTAATTTTGTGTATCGACTTGCATATGGATCTGAGTTGGTGAATAATATACCATCACATGTGCATTGGGAAATACCAAATGAAACGATGGTCCTGTTACCTCCCTCAATGCAGTAGTTATTCATGTAGCACCTTCATATTTTATGTAGTATTATGTATTAGTTTTTTATGTACCCCGTTTTTATTTTAGTGTCGTGTTACGTATTAGTTATTCATGTACCCTGTTTATATTTTATGTCATATTATGTATTAGTTATTTATGTACCCCATTTATATTTTATGGCATATTATGTATTAGTTATTTATTTTCACTACTAGAAAAACAGCCTTTTACGACGCTCATTGCGCGTCGTAAAAGGCTCAGACGACGCGCAAATGCGCGTCAAGGAAGGCCCTGTCATAAAGAGAGACGACGCGCTTTTGCGCGTCGTCTATAGATGACGCGCATTTACAACGCTCATTTGCGATGCGCAATTACGACGCGCGTTTACGACATGCAATGCGTATCAAGGAAGGCCCTGTCATAAAGGAAGATGACACGCATTCGCGTGTCGTAACCTTACGACGCGCGTGTTAATGACACGCAATGCGTATCAAGAAAGCCCTTATCAAGAAAGGTCATGTCATAAATGAAGATGACACACATTTTTGCGTATCGTAAATTTAAATATTTAAAAAAATATATATATATATTTATATATTTATTAACTTTTAAATTAAATTTGCATTTAATGTGTCATAATAGAAATAAAATACCATATACAAAAGAATACAATCCATTGAATAAACTTTAATGTCATACAATTCTATTTCTTACAATATATAAATTTGCATTCATCTAATCTACTCTATGTTTCATACTAACAATTGAAATGAAGAATACAACACTTGCATTTTCAACATCTTATCTCTTTCGGCTTGAGCTTTCTTTTCCACTTCTAACTCGAGAGCTATTTGCTTTCATCAACCCTATAAACACAACACAAAATCACTTGTCATTTTCATTCTACTTTTATGTTTACTAGTCAATCCTTCAACTTTCTTTACTAATTAGATTCACCTGGAACCAATATTGCTGATGTTTACTAGTCAATCCTTCAATCTATCATATGAAGTATGAAAAATATGAACAATAGGAAATGGAAGTTCAAAATGCTAACCAAAAATCCCAGATATATAACATTATGCCCTCCTGGTGCTTGTCCTCTTGACAACACAACTCCTATCTTCAAGGCATATCGTGATTCATTAGATTCACATGGCACCAATATTGCTGATGGTTGCCCAAACAGGGATGGGAAAAGTTTTGCAATTTCATCTGAAAGCATTTGAACAAGCACAACTAAAGTCATAATCCTTCATCTTTACACTCAATCTGTGCAGGTGATCAGATGTGTTTTGCAATTCTTTTATGTGATTTTGGATTATAAAAAAAAAAAACAAATCTCCATTTTGTTTAGTAACGGTTCGTTTTTACAGCAGTTTCACAAGGTATTTATCGTAAGCAGTTAACTTTAAAACTCAAAATGCAAAATTCGATCATAAAACCTAATTAACATCTACACACAATGTAATAAGTTAACATAGCTAGAAAAACACTTAAATTCTTGTTTATCGAATGCAGCAGTGACTGAATTAGAAAGATTATTATCAATCCATCATTAAAAAGACTCCGATCAATTGTGATCATAGTATAAATAGTTTTGCTTTTGGGGTTGTAAATTCAATTCAGTATCAATATGAAGTGAGAAATACCTGGATTTCTGACAGTGGAGCTAGCGGGACCATCGACGATTTTGAAGGGGCTTCTGGAGCAAGCGACAAGTCCACAGGAGTGTCTTCCACGGGTGGGTACAGAGGATAAAAGATGTTGTCACAAGCGTAAAAATATTAAATTAAGAAAAAAGCAAAAAGAAAAATATTATTCGAATTTTGAAAACATGCATGTGTCGACTCAGCATATGGTTTGTTAGTTTATTCATGCGATTCTTGATCCCAAGTGACACTACATCCATACTAAGTTCTTTCAGGACATCCACACTACAACATCTTACTTTCACCAATTTTTTTTCACTTAGTTATTAAAATTTCTCAACTTACATTTTTAAATATCATCCAAATAACAACACTTACCTTATTTGCTGAGATCATTCATGGATTTGTAATGTAGGTTATCTGTCAATCTTGATCAGCTATATTCATATCAAAAGCAGGTTGCACAATCAAAAGATACAGTTCTAAAACTTCTTAGTCATCAAATACTTAGAGTAATTTACACTTTTGGTCCCTTTGTATAGACGATGTAAGGCCCTGAAGCAATAATCTGCTCAAAGATGACATGGATAGAATCAGAGAGAAACCAGATAGTAAACTTAAAAGGGTACTTTAGTAAATTGAAGAACAAGCTTTACACACTAATGATAGATCTGATGTTATATCAGATAAATCAGCAGGCTTGTTATTTTCATCCATAGCTTGTCTCTTCTTTTGAGGAATATTTTCATCATCAGGGACTGATAACGGTACATAATCAACAATATTTGTTGCAATTAAATTGTGCCCACTTGGATTATGTCCTTCAATGCCTGCCACCTATCGAATTATGTTTATGTTAAATGTTTTTTTTATCAGTTTCCATTTTTTAACTATCTACATGGCCTGGGAAAAAGGAAAACTGGTCCAGGATCTGTAAGTCAAGGCACACACGTTGACCTCCAGAATGCTCAACTCTGTTCAAACAAGTAAAAAAGGACAACAGTAAGGGCAAATATGTCTGAAAAGAGCATAAAGATTCAACAAATATTACTTGCTTTGAAGAATGATTGGTTTTTCCTTTAAACGCCATTCTTCTTCACAGCAAATCATGCCAACAGCAAATATACTTTTCTAATAGGGAATCAAGAGATGTAATTTGTGTTGTTGAATCTCTTCAAAGATGATAAAAAAAAAAAAAGAATAATTCTAATAAAATAGAGATAGGAATTACTTGGGAAGCAACCGATGGATCAACAGGTCCCTCATAAAGCTAAGATGCAACCATGGCTTTTGAATACTTCATGATTTTATCTTCAAGATAATTAAACTAAACTTCCAAAAACTTTAAAGTTAATGATGTAAAGCATAATCATGAGACAAAAAGCAATCAAAATTAAGAGAATGCTACGATACCTTGTCTTCTATTTGATTAATCAAAGATAATAACAACTACAGTTGTAGAAAGCCTAATAGCTAGATCAAGCAGAACATCTATGCCACTTTTTTTAGCCTGGTTTGCATTTGTAACTGAATTTGAAACAAACAAAAGTAAAAATGCCATATGGTACTTATGAAATATATATACACACACACAAGAATATGATTTCAATTTTCAACAAGAGAAACAAACTGATATGATTTGAATCTAAAGCTAACCTGGTTGTGATGAAGATGGGGACATTCCAACATCAAGAAGATCTTGAAGAAAGTTGTCACCTGCCATCATGTTATTTGTATTTGGTGGAGGAGGTTCTTCTCCTCCTCCTAAATCAAGCAAGTCTACTAAAGGAGCAGCAGTTGTTTTAATAACTCCATTAGGAACACTACTTCCCATTGAAGTTGAAGGAATAGAAGTATAACCATTCCTCCTTCTACTGAAATTTGCTTCATCAAGAACTGGCATCCTTTCAACCAGTGCAAACCTTCACATACCATTACTAATTACTTCACTTCAGTCTTTTGTATTAAAAATTATCAAAATTACTATCCACAGTTCCATACCTAATATTCTGATGCTTTTCAATTATAGAATCAAATTTTGTGGATCTTTGTTGCAGTTCAAGCAGAAGGCTTCTTTTAGATTGAACAGAGCCCTACAAAAAAAAGTACAGTGAAACAGATCCCACATAGAATTTAGTTCCCTTGAGACGTCCGCCTTCGCTGTCTACATAATTCAGACCAGAGCCCTACAAAAAAAGTAACGCAGACATAAAATAACTGTTTTGCCCTTCATTTTTAATATTTTCATGATATACATATAAAGGGTATTGTATTATATAGACCTTTTCATCTCATCCCGCAATCATTGCCCCAACAGAAAAACCCATCCCACAGTAAGAATAGAGAATGTTGGCAAGCATCTTTGAAGCACCAGTCACTAAAATCCTACTCTTGTTTGCCAATTCATGCAAACAAAACTGAAATTAAAAAAAATACAAATATTGCGTAGAATATTTCAAAGTAGAAGGCTGTGATATGTAAAAAGGTGATTTTAATACCGTAATGCCTAAATTTCTGTGCCAAAACTGACAATCTGTAGCTCCTCCAGCCATTGTCCCCACCTGAGTTTATAACGCTGCATCTATGAATTGAGATAACTATTAATTACAAATTTTATGGAATTTATTATGGCAAAGATCAACTGTTTCAATAATAGCATAATTTATGTCCTAAACTGACCTTATAAACACTATCAAAGGGAAAACAATAGCATAATTTATGTCCTAAACTGACCTTGTGTGGAAGGCTAATGAAATCATAAGGAGCACATCTTCTATTAAGAACATCCCATATGAGATTTTCTAAAGGAATTTTTGAATGTGAAATTCAATTTTGAACAAAGATATAACACACCTGCAACATGGAACACCAGATGCAACAACAAGTTCAAGTGATAGAAGGGTAGTGAATGGCGAGACCAATTTCAAGAAGCTTTATGAATTTTTCAGATTTGCCACAGCAGGAGCTTTATGAAATTTTCAGATTTGTAAATTCTAATTTCTAATTCTAATATTCAAATTTCAAGAAGAGCTGAATCCAACAGATTGAGAGAATGGGGGAACAGGAGAAGAACATACCTGATTTTCGGTGACAATTGTTGTGGTGGTGAATGGCGAGACCAACGAGCAGCGACTGAGCAATGTAAGGAGGTAGGGACTAGCGACGATGGGGGAGGCACTGGGTAACAACGTAAGATACAAATCGATTTTGACTTCTTGTCGCTAGCTTTGGAAATCAGACTGAAATCGGGAGGGGCACAACCCAATTTCTACACTAACAGGCCTATAATTAAAATTTTTGAAGATATATTTGCTATTTCTAACCCAAATACCAGGGGGCCAAAGCCCCTCATGGCCCTATACATAATCTGCCCATGCTATGACCATTAGCAATCATATGGATCAGATCTAATTAGTAACTAGCGAATAATATCTCTAATTGAAGCTTTATTTTATTATAGAGGCAAATTGAAAGTTTCACGTGATAGGAAACCAGATTAAAAAAGCAATCGAGAATTCAACACATACAAGACCAAGAACAGTACCTATTGAATTTATGAGGCGACCTACTCCTTGCTGAAGCACAACCGATCCATTCTCTTCAAAAAAAAGGATATACATAGCAAGGCCAAGTACACCTTAATGAACAATTTGATTTTTAAGAGACAAACCGATTAGAGTGGAATCAGAGATTGGGGAGTGGATACTGTTCTAAGGTCTTTATTTTAGGAACGATCAAGGAGGTGATGGTGCAAATTGATGACCACCAATCAAAGCCTCCGTAGAGCTCGATTGGAGTGGAATCGGAGATTGGGGAGTGGAAGAAGAGAGGATCAGAGAAGTTTGAAGTGTGAATTGAGTTTTTAGGGTTCAATTTCAAGTCAATTAGTAAAGAGTCCAAAACGATTACACCTCCCTGTACCTTACCCAATAATCGAAACCATAGAACTTGTTGAATTCTGTATGAATAAGCGACGAAGATGCGAACTTGTGGGAAGTGAAGCGGTGGAGGTTTGAGAATCGAGAGAGAAGAAAGAAAGAAAGGGGGTTTTCAGCGGGAATGAGTTAGGGTTTTCATCCGGTGGAAAAAAAGCGGGCTTTTTAAATTTTGGATTTCATTTCCCCCTTGGATGAAACGCGTGTTTCATTAATATTTATAAAGCGACATAGCTAGACGACGCACGCTTTATTTAAGGTGCCCTCCGTGTTTTTTTTATTAGACACTAATTTTTGGCACGCAAAAATGCGTGTCTACTATGCTTCATATTTTGGAAATCTGACATCAATTTTTAGGGCACTCACAAATGCAGGTCCTCTATTAGCGCGTGTCATTGATTGCGCATCGTAAAAGACTGTTTTTCTAGTAGTGTTTATGTCGTATTTTGTATTGGCGATTGAGAAAACAACATACATTAAAAGAAATGGACATTTATTAAATAGTAACAAAACACACCTACAACAACAAGCAACTTAAATAACGAAAAACAATTAACTTAAGCAACATGCATATTAAAAATAAGGGACATTCTTTAAAAGATTCCATGCATCTAAGTGGGTAAACTCGCTACCATCATATTCAAAACGGTATAGTTCCAAAGCTACCTGCCGTAGAATGTCTTCATCCGTATTTTCGTATTCATTATCCAACTCGTTATAAATACGCTGAAATTATTTCACCTTTATTTTCAAATCTAGAAACTTCGCTTTGACATCTCTTCTTCTTCGATATTGAGTACGCCCCATTAAATGGTGAAACAAATGACAAACACGAGACCAAAATGATCCAGCACGAACTTGTGGGGGACCCGGTGGAAAATCCTCCTCTATAGTTATAATCCAAGCTTGAACCAAAGCAACCTCCTCTTCGTTCCTTCATATTTGTGGTGAGTCCATAATTGCAAGGGGGGGAAATAATACGATACAGTTACAATGGATATTAAAATCTATTTATAACGAGTCCTTATTTTCCCGGTGCAATGGCTTGTCAATTCAACTAGCAATGTATTGTGTTGTCATTCGACGGGGGATGACTTTTCAACTCGAACAGTGATATGTTGTGTTATAAGTATAGTACACTGCATTCGTTAGTTAATTTTGACTATGGATTGCAGACATATTAAAAGATTGGACTGCGATTTTGTGTAGAAACTACTATAAATTGACATTAAGTTAAATAAATAGTTTACTAAACAACCAATTCAGTTGTTCAAATATTGTTTTTTAGATACTACTCTCTTTGTTTCAATCAAAATGAGTTCTATATCATGGAGCAATGAAGAGTTCTTGGTTCTTACATGTGCTTATATTCATGTGTACGAGACAAGCAAGTTGAACGATCCAATGTTTTGGAGCCGTTTAACCAATATTTTCAATACTGAAAACCGAATGGCTACAAGAAACGATCGTGACGAACTAGACATCATAGCAAGATGGTATGAAATGAAAACCTAAGTTCTATTATTCAACGATCTTTATACCAAAATTGACGACACCCGTTTAAATGCTACTGAGGAGGTCATCTTGGAAGTTGCTAAGGAGGAATACAAGTCATTAAGTAACGAGTTGGAGTTCCAGTTTGAAGCCCCGTGGAATATTTTAAAAAATATCCCGTTTGTTTAAAATCTATTTTAGTTTATTATGTGAGTACTAGGTTATTTTCATGTACTATGTTATTTTCATGTATTTCGTTTGTTTAAAATATATTTTAGTTTATTATGTGAGCAACTCGTATGATTAATTTGAATTAATTAATGCCCATTGCATTAGTTTTCACAATACATTAGAATACATTACTAACAAGAATTCCATAAACCATTACAAACATTACAACAATTATATGAAAAACAACAACATAATACAAACAAAGCATTAAAGTAAAAACACAAGTTCATGTGTTATTCTGAACAGAAATTAGAGCGGTCTACATGAAATACTGTTTATTTTTAACAACCTTCCAAACTTCCTCATATTCAAAGTCTCTGTCGTCATGCTCACAGATGTAAAAATTTGTAACAACTTCCAAGAACTCTTCTTCGTCCCGATAACGAACATTGTTCATTTTCGCATAATTACATGCTCGATTGAACCATGTTACTTCTTCCTTTACATCCATCCACTTAGTAACAACATCTGATTTTTCTCTTCGTTGTCCTTCTCCCATCTCATGGTTAAACAAAGATGTTATGCGAGTCCATTCATCACTAATTAGGCAATGCGGGGGAGCAAGTAACGATACACCAGCCTTAACACTTAGTCAACATTGTGTAAGAACTAACACCTCGTTTGTCGTCCATGGCCTTTCAGAATTGGAACCAGGTACTTCATTCGAAGAACTTGCTGCATTCGAAGATATTTCTAATAATGGGAGTTCGTTTCGTTTAGGTGATTTGGATGTTTAGTTTTTATATCTTAAACATCTATTTATATAAATAAATACAGCACTATGAATTAAAACTTTGACTATGAAATGGTTACATTTAGACTACGATTTTCAGCTTTATGCAGTGATTTATCATGTCAAACTGTTATTTATGTCTTGTCACTTAAGGGTTCTACTACGATTTGCAGGTTACTGCAGTGACTTGTCATTACTATCTAGTCATTTCAAAGTTGGACTTGTCATTACTGTCTAGTATGTATAAATACCACTTATAGAACAAGTTGATTACAATGTCGACTTTATTATGAGTTCCTCACACAAATTCGAAGTTTGCTCATGCAACGAAGTAGATTGTTACTACTGTGATTCGGTAGACCCTTTTTTTACACCCTCTTCAGTCGGGCCATATATGTCACATGAAAATTTTGAAGAACTGAAGAAGGCTGAAGAACAACAAGAAGAGGACAAAGAGTCATCCCGACTTCTCACTCAACTTGCTAATGATATTGCACCGGAATGCAAACAAGCTCAAGAATGGATAGACGTAAATAAAAACAAAATCAAAGAGCATAAAGATTGGATAAAAAAGAGTAAAAAGGCAATCAAAACGACTGAAAACGGCTTGCTGAGAAGGATGAGGATTTTATACACATTATGGTAAAAAAGGATCGTTTGGAAGACAAAATGAGAATTAGGGATGACTATATAACAATGGAGAAAGAGAAGTACCCATTGCAGTTCCCTGAGTTTCAAAATTAGTTACAAAATTGTTGTAATATTATCATGATATAGATTAGGTTGCAAAAGGATCGTTTGTTGTTTTTTTAAATAACAAGTTGTAATTGTTAAAAAAAATCTGCAAAATAATATAAAGGCTTCATTAATTGTTATAATCAACAAACTAAACTAAAATATGAAAGCATAGCAACATCTTGTAAGATTTAATAAAAATATTACAATACATAATAAGTTAACAACTCATCATTACTCTTCATTTCAAGGTTGTTTTATATCAAAATCAGCATTATAGGTTTGTGAGCAACTTGCTGAACCACCGATATTAAATGCCATTTCTGCACTAGAAATTACGTGACGTGCTCCACTACCGGATGCCCTTCCAGTACAATTATTTCTCGTGCGTCCTATTTGACCACATGTAGAACACTCTTTTATAATTGGACCCTCGCCTTGGGATGGAATGCGGTTTGTGTTTTTTTGGCCTGTCTGGCTGACGTTTATCCATTATTGGTGGCTTAACAATCATCAAATCATCGGGGATCTCCCATTCGGATGGCTTTGGCAAAGGGTTTATTGATTCCTAAGATGTTTTCCTCAGTGTTTCGGTAAAATAAGCATTTAATGCATACCTCAAGCAGTCTTGGTAATTGTTCACTGTTAAACATCTTATGACATGACCACAAGGTATCCCATCAAGTTGCCAATGCCTACATGTACATGTCATATGTTGGAAATCAACAATCATATTTTGTGCCCCCCCTTTTTGACCTCGCATTTCGTATTTGAGATCATGCGAACATCCCATTTACTAAAAGTTTTCTTGTTTTCTTTTGCAATTTCATTCGCCCAAGGGGTAAGTATTGTTGTTGCTTCCACTAAAAAAACAGCCAAAATGAATAAGTTAAGATCAATAACATCAAAATTAATAAAACATTAATATTAAAAATTTACTTAGTACCTGCAAAGTTACGTCTTTGAAACCACCATTGTTGCATTGTAGCACGAAAAAAATCGATCAACATAAGTATTGGCACCTTACGTGCGTGTCTAGATAATGCATTTATAGACTCCGCATTGTAGGACGACATAAGATTGTATCGGTTCCCTTTAAAATGTGCTCTTGACCAAGTTTCTGGATTTATATTTTTAAGTACTCCCATACTGGTTCTTTAGTCTTTTTCATAACATCCATGGCAGCATCAAAAGCATCAACTGTGTACGCCCTACACGCCTCCC